GCGAACTTGCCCTGGTGGTCACTACTGCATGTTATTGCATGTTCTGTGTCATGGTGGAATTGAGAAGTAAGTGACATAGGCGGTCACGCCATTCCCCGGTTACTGCTTTGCCCTGCCGCCGTACGTCATGATGTTTCTCTCATTTGAGGTTATCTGAGGGGAGTGCTTTGAGTCTTCTCCCCTACCACCCACCTTTCTGTGATCTTCAGAATACCAGATACACTTTTTTGACATGACTGGGTTTCCCCATTTTCCAGTGGAGACAATATCTGGACACTATTTGGTTTTTGTCATTCAGTACCAAAGTTCTTCGGCATGAATCATTTTACCCTGTGCCTCCATGCCAAGGTAACAGTGTGCAGGGAGAGATGCCAGGCTTCCAAATGATTGATTGAGCTGCAGTATGCTCACTGCTAGAAGAGAATTTGATATTCATGCTTTAGCTGGCTTTATTTTCTGTCCTTGGTCAGGTGGATTTTCAGAATAATTGCAGATCACTTGAACTCAGTGGGTTGTTTTTCTGTTAAAGGTATTGTCTACTTAATAATACCAATTTTTGGATGCTTATTGGGCAGAAGATGGCTGTAGGAGGCCACTTTCTCCTTGCCAGAGTAGACCTCTCACGCCTGCATGTCTATGATTTAAGGGCTCTGGCGTGGAATTGCTCCCTCTTCAACATGAAAAAGGCTTCTTTAAAGGTTGGGTAATGCAGCTGCATAGGCCTCTCACTATGCCTCGAATCTAAGGATTCAGCCCTCTGAGTTTAGATACTAGGTTATTAGGTATTTCCAAATAAAGAGGACATTATTAAGTTAAATTGCTTATATTGGCCTCAGCTGTCTGAGTGCCAGGTCTTAGTAAAGAAAGGAAGAGAGATATTTGTGAAGAAAGAAGGATGGGTTGGTTGTACACTGTCAGAGGAAGGGAAAATGAAAAAGAGGCTCTAGGAACGGATGTAGATTTGGGAGCGTGGGGTGGAGTGAGGCCTGCGATAGGGAAATGAGTGGACTCTGAAGATAAATGTCTGTTTCATGGTATTCCCTGAAACTGACCCAAACTGTAACATTATATGTGTATTGAATGAAATAGATTGGAATTTCAGTCTTACTTGGAATATGCATTGAAGAATTAAGATTTTTGTCAAAAAGAAGAGATGAAAGCAAAGTTCAGTGTTCCTCCTACAGCAGTGTCCCCCTTAAGAAGAACACAGGTCGTGATTTTGCCCTTGGCTTTGGCCCTCTGCAAGGTCTGATGGATTTGCTCTTTCCTGCTGGGTAGGAAGTGGAGGTCTGTGGTTAAAGGCAGGGGCACATCTGCAGTGCTGTCACAATCTGATTAGACCACTTCTCACCCTGAGAGTCCATCTCTCTTACCTGATCCTCAGACCCTTCGGTTCTTGAGAGGCCTGAGGTTAGCGCAAGGACAGAAACACTTCTAAGAATCCGAGTGCATGGACTCTCTCTCCAGAAAAATGCCCAGACACATGATTTTTATATAAAATGTCAAAGATAGTATTAGATATCTTAAGGAGTGTCCACAGGGCCCAGATTAAGAACCCTTGTTTTGGGGCACAGGTCACTGCTGAGTCACCAAGGAGTGTCCCTAAACCCCAGCCTGCCATGTGGCTTTTTCCTATCCATTAAATGTCCTTGTCCCTTTCCCCCATTTGCTAATGGGCATGAGTCACTTGATTTTTGTAGCACCAGATGCCCTGAGGTGTTCATGTGGAGAAATATTGAGTCATAATTTTTGTTTTTATTAAAAAAGGCTTCATTATTCCAAAGCCTACTTCTCTTTAAAACATATTTTAATTCCATTTTATTTTTAAGTTTGCATACCTGTTTTTTTTAGTGGCTGGCCGGCTCATTTGCCAGGATCTCTGGGGGATGGGGTATTTGAAAATTCTTCTTAAGTCTTATGAACTTTTTCAGCATTATGAAACCATCTCTCATTTTCAGTTTTCTTCTGAGATGGGGAAACACTGTTCCTGCCACCTTTGATCACCTCAAGACAGTTGTCTTTGCTTTACAAGCAGAAATCCATAGGGACCAGAGGATGTGGGCATGCAGGGGCCCCCAGGAGAGAAGCAGAACCCCGAGAGAGTGCGGGCGACAATGCAGATGAGCACGTGGGCCTGATGATGGAGAACAGACTAAGAGCTGGCTACCATTATCGCTGTTTCGGATTTCACATCAAAGTAGCAGAATCAAACTCTTGACCCTAAAAGGGAAGAAATCCTGGCTATTCAAATCCTCCATTTCTTGCAGTGCCTGCTAACAGCGGGTGCTTTGCACATGCCGATGGATTTGTGTTTCTGTTGCCAACAGATGTCTTTCAAACTGAGCTGACCTGTCGAACAGTTCTGCCTTTCAATCTATGATCCCTCATTTTGGACCCAAATCAGAGGTGGTGTCACCTTTCTGCAAATGGACCGAGGTCCAGTATGGGTGGAATTGCGGTGTCCTCTAAGATGTTTACTAACAATGTGATAGATGAAATCAGCTTTTGTTTTTTGACCATGATGATTTACTTGAGGTTAGTAGAGAAGATAATTTTTTGCAGATCATACTGTGAGAAATAGGGCAAGTTCTCAGAAGTTGTGGGAGACAGAAATATTGCTGGACCTTTGTTTAAGCTTAAGGCAGAGTTACGTAAGGCTGTGAGCCAATGAGGCAGGTGTGTATTAGGCTCCCTATGGTCTGTCTTCTCTTGGCAGGACTTCAGGGCCCCCAGGAGCTCTGGCCACAGGTCACCTGGAGTGAATCAGCTTCTGGGGACTGTGTACCAGCTTTCATTCTCTCTGCTGGAACCAGTGTCTCTGAGAGTCGTCATCAGACAGAGAGGAAATGTGATGTTGATTGAAGTGGGACCAGCTGGAGAAGTTTATGTGCACATTAATGTGTGTTCTTAGTATCATGTGGCAGGATCCTACCGAAGGCTTCCTGGCTACTGGAATCTGGGACAGACAAGCTGGGTTCAATTTTCAAGTAAGACAGACAGCAGGAGGAGGTGGTGGTCCCATGTGGTCTGTAAACACGTTGCACTGAGTGTGGCAATGAATGGGAAAGATGGTGATTTCCCCGTGCACTGGCTTGTGGGCAAATGGGAAATCAGATTTTCAGAAGAAAGAATCATCCTTTGCTTCATAAAGCTTATGGCTGCCTCGCTTGAGCTATTGATTTGTTTAGTTTTCAATCAGTACAATTAATTGTGAGAACAATTAATTTCAAGCAGGAATAATTGCACTCAAAATGTAGCTACCTTTCTGGTTGAGATGTTTAAGGACTTTGCGTACCACTCCCACCCCCTTGGGTACATAGTGATAGCTTGATTTGTTTTTGAGTGTCCTTTTTTCTCCCAAAGCAAGATGCCCAGGCATTGCCCTCTACCCCAGCTGCCCTGGGTTGAAAAGAAATCTGATACAAATTATTGCCTACCAGGTCTCCACAAAGAAGTAGCAACAGCAGCACCTTTGCCACTGGAAGAGATTGTGTCTGAGTTCTCTGACTTCCCGGCATGGAATCAGGGCAGCCCAGACCCCCACCCGCCATCCCAGGCTTCTCACTGGTTAGTCTTCTCTGGAACGGGATAGAATCAGGTGTCCTCAGTTATTTTAGTATATTCTAGCAAAGCAACTTGCCTATGATGTCAGCTAACACACATTGTGATGAGGCCAGAGAACCAGGCATGCGATGAAGGAAACTCAGCTCTTGGCTGAGGGAAAGTCCTGTGGGCAGCACTGATGAACCACCATTGTCTATCCAGAATTGGGGTGACTCTCTATGGAAGATGTCTATTTCAATGGAAACTTTAAAAATGCCTACCCTGGGGAGGGGAGCAGCCCTGTATTCCCTCTCTGACATGCTGGTAGGGAATGGCTGGCACGTGTATGTTAAGCCAGACAAGTGCAACCACCTCGATCACTAAAATAACCTTTGCATATTGGAAGTGCCTTTAGATAAAATGATTCTGTCTAACGAGGTTTACAAATCATTATTTTTTGCATGGACATGTGGGCAAGTCTGTATCCTTTTATATTTAATATCTTTGAGCTCTTGCATCGCTGTATATTAAGTTCATTATGTCACATCTGTCACTGATAATTAGAAACGATTGTAAAATGTGTTGTGCAGAGTGTTTTTGCTTACATGTAAACAAGTACCATGAGAACATAGATAAATGTGGAATGGAGGAATGGAGTGACTTTTTTCAACAGAAATCCGAGGACAGCTTTATACTCTGGCCAGAGTTCTTGATTTTTGGGTATTGGAAAATTCTGTGCTCAGTCATTCCGTTCGCACATTTTGTTTATTAACTTGCCTGTTTTCTATGTCATTGGAAAAATTGGAACCAAAAAATCGAATTAATAAACTTGCTCTGAGGAAAGCAGGGTCTGTGGGCCAGCATGAATCTCAGCATTATATAAAGTTTCAGAGTTTTTCCTTATGTTTTCATTTTCATCTTCCTCCCTAAATGAATGCCAACTCTGAGCCATTTTTTTTTGCACTTGCTATAGTGATATTAATTGATGTGAGTAGAAATAGTCTCAGAGTAAATTTTCCCACAAAGAAGGCAATTTCAGTCAGTCTCAGGGGTATCTGACTTTTACTTAAAAACAGAAAAATTTATATTAGATATAAAATGTCCTGGGTTGTACAAGTTAATAGGAGACTGTCGTTTGGGAATAGTCAAGATTAACGAGGCTCATACCTTTATGTTATAGTTAGTTTCTTAAAGGACAGGAAACTTTCCTGGCAGGGAAAATCCTCCAGCCAGAAGCTTCATTAATAGGAGCAGATGAGAGGGCATGAGTAGTAGCTAAAGGTGGCCTGCATCCCCAAAAGAGTCATCCTTAACCCCACGGCCAGTAGGACTGGTGATGGGAACTTCCTGGGGCGGGATTGGGCTCGCTCTGTAAGTGCTCAGTACGTGGGTTCGTATGCTGTGCTGCTCATTTCTGCTGGATCAACTGGTGATTTTTATTAATGATCTTGTTTTAGCCAAACTCAGGCCCTGACTTGGTTTTGTCCGAAGATGAAAAAAGCGACACCGAAGACAAGGAAGAGACAGAATTGGGCGTCATGGAGGATCAGCGCAGTGTGATTCTTCATCTCATTTCACAGCTCAAACTTGGAATGGATTTGACCAAGGTAGGTTGGCATGTGCCACCGGGTCTGCGGCCAGTTGTTTGGGTGTGTCTCCACCTGTGAGCCTTCCCTGCTCACATCCTTTTCCTTTTGGCGAGTTTGAGAAAGTAGAGTGGGAAAGTATAATCGCAGTCGAATCTGGCTATTCCAGGTATAATTTGATAGGCTATTTTTACATAAATGCTCGTCCTCAGAGCGCGAGCCTTGCATTTGATCCCCTGCAGGAGCTTTGACTCTACAAGGGCAGAGAGCGCATCAGAAAAAGCAGATGAGATGATAAGGAAAATTCAGGGGAGGGTTTTTTTGTTTCCTGCTGTGTCCTAGAGAAGGTTAAAGAAGACCTATAGAGATAGATAAGGCACTGGCCACAGAGAGAAAGCAGGAGGAAGGAAAAAGGTGGAGCCAGGAGTAAGGCCGCTGCTCACCTAACCATGACCCGCGACTGTCCGTCAGCTTTCACAGCTAGTTCCCAAAGGCAGCCTTGTTGGTGATCCAGAGCTCGTTGTTCATGTGTAAAGGAACAAACCTGTGGGTTGGTAAACATGCAACTCGTCTTGGTTCTGCGCTCAGTCCGGATTCTCCCTGAGGGACCTCATCCTGCATCAACCACTGATGGCAAGGCGATGGGCTCATATAGACTCTCCCTCACTTTGAGTCAGCGGCTTCCTACTGGAGGCAAAGAGGAAAAGCAATTTTGTATGTAGCTGAAAGATGGTACGGTGTCATCGAGGGTATCATGGGGTGATGGAGTGTCCTGGACACTGCCCTCGGGCCCACCTGGGTTCTATTTCCATTCCTGATGCCTCCCTGGAATTGCAATATGAGAATCGGCGGTTGTGAGTAGAGACTGAGCCCAGTGCAGAACTCATAGTAGGTGCATCAACATTCTTATCCTTTTGACGTACGGTGTGGTGTGGTGGGCCGTGTGGCATGGTGTGGCGGGCCACGTGGTGTGGTGGGCCACTTGGTGTGGTGTGGTGAGCGGTGTTCTGTGGCAGAGGAGCAGCTGCTGGGGAGCGACACATCACCCATGAGGAGACTGTGCTGTAAAATGGAAGTTCTAGATTTTGAAGGTCAGCCAGAAAAATATAGACATCCTTGAAATGGTCAAAGCCACTGAAGACACAGCCTGTGGACACCGCATTGAGGATTGCTGGCTTGTTTGGCTGCAGTGAAGGGCCTAGATGCCCCAAGTTCACCCCCCAGACTGGGCTGGATGCCAGAAAAGAGAGGGAAGGGTGGGCAGGTGTGAGAGATTCTTCGAAGAGGAAGATGACAGCATGGTAACTCACCATTTACAGGAGACAGGAAGCCTCAAGGATGCAGGAAAGCCTTTTCTTTGGAATATTTTTATGTGTTCGAATATGAGTGTGTCCGATATACTGGGAGACTGCACAACTTTAAACAAAATGGTGGGACCATGCTGAGGAGGCCTGACCTAGAAAGTTCCCTAACTGGGCCATCCCCTGCCCGCTGCTTGGGCCTTCCCAGCTCTGCACGCCAAGCTGTGAAGACTGACAGTCTCTCTGCTGCCTTCCCTTCATTTAGTCTTTGGGTTGTATAATTCTCATATCCTTTTTACTAGAGGCACCATTTTAAATGCTTGCCTTTTTAAAAGCCATTTATTTTTTATTCTTGTGGATTGTGTAAACAATTCAGATGGAGCTTGACTTAAGATCTGAAGGATAGAATATGGGCAATGATGTGCACTAACTAGTAGGATTTAAAATCACATTTCCACACTGTGGGTCATGGGTCATGACCCCTTTCGTAGGTTGTAAAACCAATTTAGTGTCTCAGATATCATTTCTAAAAAAGGAAATATAACAGAAAATAACAGTGTACTGTACTTATTTTAGTTCTGTTGATACCTGTGTACTGGGTCACAATGTAAAACGAATTCTCATTGTGGATCGTATTAAAAAAATATTTGTAAAACATTGATGTGGAACCATGAATGATAGACTGTCAGAGGAATTGGAATTGTTCAGGTCAGATGTGGAGAAACAATAAAATACCGAAGGGACAATATTATGGCAGGTTGAGTGTCTCAGACATCACGTTATGACTCTCTCGTTTTAAAATAAGGAAATCATAAGAACTGTGCATTTCCTATTATTATTTTATTAGAACATGATTGTTTTGCATTTCTGGGGTCACAGTCTCTTCCTAAAAGAGCAAATGTTGATTTTATTCGATATATGAAAAACTTCTCTAGTATATAGTTTATTAATTTATTTACTGGGGAAGAGTTGCTATTCAAAACCCAGGGGGACATTTAACAAGCTGAAATATTTGTGAGAGGAAAAGGTAAGCCTTTTATTGTCCCGTTTGGTTTCTGGGCTTTTGTTGCTCCGCATGATAAAAAGAGTGATGAAATTCTGTCTTTCCTGATTGTCTCTTTTTCTCTTCTTGGCTTTGCCCGTGTCATTAAGGTGCGCTTGTGCTAAACTGGCAATTGAAGAACTTAACCTGAATGGAGAGTCTGAGCAGGCACCTTAGAGATAGAACATTCTTTGATTCAAGGGTGAGCTTCTGGTGTCTGTGTAAAATAAGTGTGCTGCCCACCTTTGACAGGTGGCCAGGATCTATGCATTCACAGGTCTCCAGCCTAATGGGGCACTTGGCCTTGGTTAATTAACTGTGCTGACTAGACAGGGAAGTTTCATGGGCTTATGATCAGAAGGCTCACACAGTACTCCATGCTCAGAAGTGTCCCATGCTTGGCTTAATATTTTGTTGTCTCTGTCTTGAAACTCTTGATAATTTTGAACAAAGAGACTTGCATTTTCATTTTTCACTGGGCCCCACAAAGTATGTAGCCGGTCCTGCCTCTAGAAGCCCCCTTGTCTGCTCTCTTTCCTCAGCTGTGGTTCCATAACCCAAATTGCTGGTGAAAACCCCCACTGGATAACTTGCTGCATTTCCACAAATTGGGGGTATTCCTAGAAAGGAATACAAGAGAGAAAGGAGGAACCACAGAAAAATGGAGGGCCACAAAAGGGCTCATTGAAGAAGGGCATTTAGGTCCAGTCTGAAGGATGAGTGGGTGTTGGCGGGAGGAAGGGCATTCCGGGCAGAGGGAACCGCGTGGAGGAAAGCATGGTGGGTGGAGTGGGGCACGTACTGCTGAGTGGCACAGCTGAACATGCAGTGAGTAGAGAGGTCCGATCCTGCAGAGGCTTGTGGGCCATGTAAGGAGAGCAGACTTGATCTTGAGGGGCACGGGAAGCCTTTGGAGGGTTTCAAGCAGATGAGAAACAGGATGTGTTTGGGAGATGCTAGGGTAACTGCTGTGCTAAATCCTGGGCTCCAGGGAGAGGGGCCCACAGAATACAATGTTGTCCTTGATAGTTAATGACCTTTTTTTTTTACCAGTTTTTCAGGGATATGAAAAACGACAATTAGGAATGCATACGTTCACTCATCTGGCATATATTTATTGAGCACTATACATGCCAGGTATTGTTCTAGACACTGTGAGTACAGCAGTGAACAAAACATTGAGAATCCATACCTTCATGGCACTTGGGTGGTAATGGAAGAAGAGAGATAATAAACAAGTGAGAGAAAGGAAAGAATGTGGAGATGAGAAATACAATGAAGAGAAATAGAACATGGCAAGAAAGGTTAGAGGTGATGGAGTGCGGGGTGGGGTGTGCCCTCTTAGGTAAACTGGTCAGGCTAGGATTCTCCCAGATGACATTGGAGTAGAGACCAGATTAAGATGAAGGAGTCAGCCTTGTGAATATCTAGTGGAAAAATGTTCTAGCTAGAGGGGACAGTGAGTGAAGAAGGCCAAGAGGGACCTTGTTTGGCATTTTGAGGATGAGCAAGGTGTCCTGTGTGGCTGGAGCAGAGTGAACTGGGTGGGTTGGAAGGGAATTAAGTTGGCGAGAGAGCAGGGACTGGATCATAGGGCCTGCTGGGACATTATAAGGATTTGGGATGCTATTTTTAACTGATATGGGTTGTCACTGGAGAGTTTTAACATAGGAATGCATAGCCTTATATTTTTAAGAGATTATTTTGAATCTTGTGTGGAAAGTAGACTGGGACAGGGTCGAGTGGGGTGTGGGCATCAGGGTGAGGGTAGACGCAGGGAAGGGGGTGAGAGATGATGGCAGTGGCAAAGTCTGGGTATACTTAGAAGATAAGGCCAACGGGATTCGGATATCCTGTTTGCATATAGATGGGATGTGGAGAATGAGAGAAAAAGAGAAATAAAGAATAACTAAGTTTTGATCTGAGTAACTAGAATAATAATAATTAGGATTGCCATTTAAAAAAAGATCATTGCTGAGGAAATAACCACCTCAGATGTAGTGGCTTAAAAAAATAACCATTATTTATTGTTATGTAATAAGGGGGTGAAATCCGCTGGACAGTTCTGTTGGTCTCGCCATTGGTCACTTGTATGCCTCTCATCGCCTGGCGGGTTAGTTGTAGGCTAGGCTCAGCTGGCACAGCTAGGCCTCTCTCTCTCCGTAAAGTTGTAGCCCTGTTCTGTGTCCATGTGTTCTTCCCATGTGATCTCTCCAGCTAGGTAGCCAGACATCTTACACAGCGGTTCAAAGCTCCCAAGAGAGCAAAAGTTGAAGCTGATAAACCTTCTTAAGGCTTAGGCCCCAAATGGGCCTAAGTGCTGCTTCTACTCTATCAATAAATCAAGTCACAGGTCCAGCCCAGATTGAAGAGAAGGGGACTGTGCCCGGACATGGATTCCGGGAGCTGTGGTCCACTGGGGGCCACCAGTGGAACAGACTACACTTTCTTTTACTGAGAAAGGAAAGACCCTGGGAAGAGCAGGTTGGCAATGTTGGGGAACACCATAGATTTAATCTTGGATCTGTTAGGTCGGAGGTATCCATTCATCAGTCATCCAAAGAGGGCACGTAGGCAGCTGGATATAGAAGACTAGGTCTCGTGGGTGAGGTTTAGGTATAATTTTGAGAGTAAACACTGTGTAGCTGGTGTTCAGAGCCAGGAGGTGCAATGGGTTC